AAAAAAAAAAAAAAAAAGCCAGGCTTGGTGGCACACTCCTATAGTTCCAGCTACTTGGAAGGCTGAGGCGGAAGGATTGCCTGAGCCCAGCAGGTAGGGGCTGTGATACCATAATCATGCCACTGCACTCTAATCTGGGTGGCAGAGTGAGAATCTGACTCAAAAACAGAAGAAATACAGCAAAGATGGTGGCGTCCTTGGCGGCTAGTGGGTATGCAATAGGCACCATTCACACATCTCCTATTAATTCACTAAATTCTCACCACAACCACATGGGTCGGGGCAATTTCACATCCATAATCCAAAATCTTGGGGAGACATGTGCTTCAAGATTTTTTGTATTTTAGAAACAAACTCAAGTGTCTACAGAAAAGGTCTGAGAATCCCCAGGAAGTGGTAGGATCAAACTACAAACAGCCTCACATCTGTTCAGGTCACCAAGAGTTTTGGTTCCAAGTACAAGAAAAATAACTTTTCGTTTTTCAAAACATTTTGAATTTAGAAATTACAGAGAAGGCATCGTGGGTGTGTATAATGCTTAGTGGGGACACCAAGGCACAGAGAAGCAGGGTGGCTTGGCCAGGGGAGGCGGGGGAGACAGGGCAGTAACCCCACAGCCCACATGGTCACTCCATTGTAGTACTACGTGCTTAGAGCTTAATAAATCCTGGCTGCCGGCTGATAGCACGACAGGGGCCACTTCCCAGACTCTAGGCTGTGAGGATCAAGTCCCAGAGGCTGCCTGCCAGTCCTTAGCCTGACAGCACGAAGATAAGCACTGGGAAACAGTTAACATCCACTCCGTGCTCCCCTGCAGGATGTGGCCCCAACCCCGTAAGCAGATCTAGAAGCTGGGTGTTGTGGGCTGAACTGTGCCCACCCCCAGATTCTGTGTTGAAGCCCTACCCCTGCCCCATACCTAAGCATGGGACCTTATTGTGAAATAGGGTCTATGAAGAGGCAGTGGGCCGGCTCGGTGGCTTAGCCTGCAATCTCAGCTCCTAGGGAAGATGAGGTAAATGGCTTATCTGAGCCCGTGGACTGGAGATCAGCCCAGGCAACTTGGTGAGACCTCGTCTCTACAATAAAACCAAAACTTAACTGGGCGTGGCAGTGTACGCCTGTAGTTCCGGCTACTTGGAAGGCTGAGGCGGAAGGATCGCTGGAGCCCAGCAGGTCGACACTGGGGTGGCCATGAGTGTGCCACTGCACTCCAGCCTGGGCAACAGAGTGAGACTCCAACTCAAAAAAAAAAGAGGAAAAGAAGTTAAAATGAGGACACCCATCATATTGCACCCTAAACCAATATGTTGGGTGTCCTTATAAGACGAGATTAGGACACAGACACCCACAGAGCGAAAAGCACATAAGGACATAGGGAGCAGATGGCCATCCACAAGGCAAGGAGAGGAGCCTCACCAAAAACCAGCCCTGCCAGCACTCTGATCTGGGACTTCCAGCCTCCAGGACTGTGAGACCACTGGTGTCTTTTGTCTCAGCCCCCATCTCTGGCTCTTTATTATGCAGCCGAGCTGACAAACACACAGGGCGGGGCAGCAGCTCAGAGGGTGACCCAGGCTGCCCTGAGAGCTGGGTGGCGGCTGAGCCAATCTCACCTCCAGACAGATGACGGAGCCCTGGTGCTCCCGGAATACCCTTAGCTGCTCCCCACTCAGGATGTCCCAGGCGCGGATGGTGGCGTCGGTGCTGCCTGTGAAGGCCGTGTGGCCAGGCGTGTCCAGCACCAGGCAGAGCACCGCACCCGTGTGGCCTCGCAGTGTCTGGTGGCAACAGCCGCTGGCCACCTGCCACACCTTGGCCGTGCCATCGGTGCTGCCTGTCACCAAGAGCCCCCCTGACACGGCCTCCTCCACACAGGGAGTGTCAGGCAGGTTCCAGGGGGCAGAATAGGCCAGAGTCAGCACACAGTTGCGGTGGCCCCGGAACTCCCGGGACATCTGTCCCTTGTCCACGCTCCAGACACGAGCTGTCCGGTCGTAGGAGCTGCTGAAGAGCTGGTTGTCGGCAACCAGGATCCTGGAGGTGAGAGAGGACGTGTCAAGGGTCAGGACACACAGGGTTCCAGAATCCACATAGCCTCCCAGTGGGCCAGACTCAGCACTGAAGCTGGAATGACCTCTCTCTTCCTCTGCCCAGTCCTCCACACTAACCTTTTTTTTTTTAAGTCAATGAGTTAATTTATTTTATTACTATTATTTTTTATTATGTTTTAGTTGGGGTCTCACTCCACTACCCAGGCTGAAGCGCAGTGTCACGATCACGGCTCACTGCAGCCTGGACCTCCTGAGTACCTGGGACTACAGGTGTGCACCACGACACCTGGCTAATTTTAGTATTTTTTTTTATAGAGACGAGGTCTGACTATGTTGCCCAGGCTGGTCTTGAACTCTTGGGTTCAAGCAATCCTCCTACCTTGGCTTCCCAAAGTGCTGGGATACAGGCATGAGCCACTGCGCCCTGTCCTATTTTATTTTAAGGACAAGGTCTTGCTCTGTGGCTCAGGCTAGAATGCAGTGGTGCAATCAAAGCTCACTGCAGCCTCCAGCTCCTGGGGTCAAGCAATCCTCCACCTCAGCCACCCAAAGTGCTGGGGTTATAGGCACAGCTCACACTCACCTTCCAAGGTCCAGCTCAAAGTACCTCTGTCTCCAGGAAGTTGTCCTCTCACACCCACCCCTCCTCATCTAAGCCACCTGCCTGCCTGGCCTGTGTCTGCAACAGGGACCAAGCTCAGAGGCCATGATCCCTCCAACACTCTGCCATGGCAGCTGCTATCGAACAGCTATGAAAGGAGGCAGGAAGAGGGAAAACAGAGGGGAGTGCGGGGGTCGCAGGCCTCCCAATTTTGCCCAGAGCTGAAAGGTTTCTGGGGATGCAGGGCTTTCCGTCCAAAACTGGGACCGTCTGGGGCAGGGTGTGATGAGTCACCTCAGGAACAGGGCAGACTCGAGTGGCTGGGTAGGAGCATGTCAGATGAGGGCCCTGGGGAGGCTGGAGGGCACCAGGAACTCTCGGAGGTGCCCAGCGGGGACCTGTGGGAGTCACAGTCAGGGATTGCAACCCAGCGGGTGGGGTGGGTTTCTGCTCACAAGGAGCCCCACACAGGCTGATGTCACAGCCCCCATAAGGTTCCAGGCACACGACTGGGAACTGGGATGGAGCTCTGTTCACTGTGGGGGACTGAGGTTCCCACAAGGGTAAATATTCACGACTCTTAGGTCAATTGATGAATGCTAAGAACATCTCCCCAGAAAAACACACATTTGTTTTGAGTGGAGAACTCTGCACATAGCTTCAAAGGATCTGTTTATACACCCTTGTTAAGAAGCCCTGCACCCCCAGGAGTGGAGGCAGCTGGGATGGGGGGGTGCGTCTCTGCTGGGGTGGGACCCCTCCTGAATCAGGATCGAGGCCAACCTCCCTGCTCCCTCTCAAAAGGTCTTGCCAGAAAGCCTGGCGTGGACAGAAGACCCACTCAGCGGACAAGCCTGCTGCCTCTCACCTCTGCAGGGTCTTGCAACTGACTTAATGACGCAGACTGCACTAAAATGCCAACTCCCTCTTCCTGACTGCTTTCTTCCCTGAGACCCAAATAGCATGATTTTCACAAGATGTGCATTTTTAAAGGAAAGTGACTCCTTGATGTTGTGGCCCTGGGGGTGTGGCAGGGTGGGGGTGGCTGAGTCCTGTCTGGGCGTGGCCCGGCGTGAGAAGGGATACTGAAGCATCGGGGCCCCTGAAACCAGCCTAGCTCTGAAAACATGGGAGGAAGCAATTTCCTCACCAATTAATAAGGACAGTTACTCAGCCATGCAAATATCTTCCAAAAGTATGAGTTTAGAACAACAATCGACTGAAAATAATGTGTCTCTATGAAAAAGATACCTGCACACGCATGTTTATTACAGCATTATTTACAATAACAAAAACATGGAATCAACCGTGCTGCTCATTGAAAGAGGACTGGATTTTTTTAAAAATGTGGTACATGCACACGGTGGAATATTATGCAGCCATAAATAAGGACAAAATTATGAACTTCGCAGTAACTTGGATGGACTTGGAGGCTATAATACTGAGTGATCTATCACAGAAACAAAGAACCGAGTATCACATTTCTCACTCATAGGTAGACCTTGAACAACTATGGTAACAGTATAAGAAAAGGATTGGCAGTAGTGTGAAACTGCCAGGGGAGGAGGGGCACACCTCATCAACCAGCGTACCTGCATAATGAACATTTGTATACCTAAGCCTGAATTGTACCCCACAATTTTTTAAAAATTAAAGAAAATAGTGTGTGTGTATGTAGCTGTTACATGTGCACACAGGAGACTAAACCTAGCAAAGCACAATTTCTACTTTCAATCGTCCAGGTTTATTTTTCAGAAGCAGCCGACAGTTGTCCAGTTGGCAGCTGGGGACAAGTTGGTCACTTGAGGACATGGTCTTCTCTTCGCTGTCCCCATCACAGTCTCTCAGTGACTTGCAAAAAAGGGCTTCCCCGTCACCAAACTTTTCTTCAACGACAAACGTCCTTCTCAGGAGAGTCAGAGTGCGGGGAAGAGGCCGGCTGACCCTCAAGCTCTGGCCTCCTGTTGGCCTCCGTGGGGCAGGTCTCTGGACTTGCCTGCTCAAGCCGAGGAGGGCAGGGGACAGCAGAAGCCTGGGACTCCAGTGAGGAAGGTTCCGGACCACCCTTTCCGCCCACCACCCCCTGGTCCGTGAAGCCGGTGTGGTCCTGTCAAAGCTCAGGTGGCAGCAGCCCTCTGGCCAGGCTTATTCTTTCCTCACTGCTCTCCCTGCCCCAGCCTCCAGGCCCCTCCGATGCTTGCCTGTGCTAGCCCTTTCCTTACTTGGATCAACCTCCCAGGCCGTGCCCCTCCCATCAGCAAGGCTGCTGGCCCAAGGGGTGCCAAGATACCCTTAGAGGGGTCTTCCCTTGGGAATCTGAGGGATTCATCCCAAGTGACTTAAATAGTGCCAAACGCATCTGGTCAGCAAAGGAACTTCCATGGCTTTCGCTCAGACCCGAATTCAACAAGGAAAGGAAAAATGCAAACTTTCTTGAGAAGGAGAAGAAGAGATGTTTTCAACAGCCAACTAGAAAGGAGAGGCTTAAAAATATCCTGCACTTTGGGAGGCCAAGGTGGGAAGACCACTTGAGCCCAGAGATTCAAGACCAGCCTGGGCAACATAGTGAGACTTGTCTCTACAAAAATTTAAAAAGTTATCTGGGCGTGACAGTGAACACCTGTAGGCCCAGCTACTCGGGAGACTGAGGAGGGAGGATCACTTGAGACCAGGAGGTCAAGGCTGCGGTGAGCCAAGATCATACCACTGCACTCTAACCTGGGCAACAGAATAAGACCCTGTCTCTCCCACCCCCCAAAAAAATATATATATGTATATATGTACATATCTTGGACTCCATCATCAGCACAATCCCCACTTTCCTCCTCCTCCAACCCTAGGTCCACCATCAGGTTCCATCAAACCCTTCCTTCTGGAATAGTCCCTTGTCAGTAGAAGCTGTAGATCTGGTAACTTTCTTGCACCCAGCAGGGGTCAGCTGTGCCCCAAGGGGGACGCATCTGACTCAAGTCAGTATATTAATAGCACCTCCCTTGCCCCAGGCCTCTCCTCCCATACCAAATTAGCACTCTGCCTGTCCTACTGCCCAACTCCCCAGGTGTCCACACTTTGACATCCCCAGAGAACCTAAAGTCCTCAAGGGCAGGGCTTCCAGGTGGGGCCCAGCAAGGGGCCCACGATGAGACACGCCCCAAGCCCCCAGCCAGGCTGACCTGTTCACAATGGACGTGTGTCCTCGGTATACCTGCAGACACTGCCCGGTCAGCACGTCCCACCTCCTGATGGTGCAGTCGGCGCTGCAGGTGAAGGCGGCTTCATCCTCCAGCTGGCAGAAGGTCACGTAGCTTTCATGTCCTACAGGAGAAGATGTGAGTGTACAGGGATGATGGCTCTGGCTTTTCTTCTGGGGCAGCATTTGAAAAGGGAAGAAAGCAGGGGTCAGGGAGCATTTCAGACAAGCCCAAATCACCAGCGATTTTTAAACGACTTCAGTCTGGAAGATTCTCAGGAAACATGGGGTATCAGGAGCAATTCAGGGGCACTTACCTGCCCCCTGAACCCTCTACTTCCTCATCTTTTGCTCTATCCTTTCTCCCTCTTCTGCTTCCCTCCCTCTTTTTATTGTTTTTTTTTTTTAATTTTTGAATCGGGGTCTCACTTTGTCACCCAGGCTGGAGTGCAGTGGCATGATCACAGCTCACCACAGTCTCGACCTCCTGGGCTCAGACAATCCTCCTGCCTCAGACTCCTGAGCAGATGGGACTACAGGCACATGCCACCACATCTGGCTAATTTTTAAAATATTTTTTGTAGAGATGAGGTCTCACTGTGTTGTCCAGGCTGGTCTCAAACTCCTATGGCTCAAGCAATCCTCCCACCTTGGTCCCCCAAAGTGTTGGGATTACAGGCGTGAGCCACCATGCCTGGCTGCTCTCCCTCTTCATTATTACCTCCTTCTAGACTTCTGCAAACTTTTTAGCTTTTGCATTCAACATTCTCTCACTGAGATGGGGACAGTAACAATACCTACCTCATGGGGTGCTGTGCAGACAGAGGCGGCCACATAGTAAATGATGTGTGTGAGCTTTTTTTCTTCCGTTTGGGGAGAGCTGCTGTAGTAGGCAAGACAATGGCCCCCAAACATATTCTATTAGGTCCTAATCCCTGGAACCTGTTAATGTTACCTTACTTGGAAAAGGGTTTTGACCCTTGCAGATGTGATTAAGATCTTGATTTGGGGAGATTATCCTGGATTATCTGGGCAGGCCTTAAATGCAATCACAAGTGTCTTCATTAGAGAGGAAGAAATCTGACACACAGAGAAGAGGAGAAGGACTTTGTGAAGGAGGAGAGGGAGATGGATGCGGCCATAAACCAAGGAATGCCAGTGGCCATCGGCGCCAGAAGAGGCCAGGAAACCATTAATCCCTACAGGTTTCAGAGGGAACATGGCTCTGTGGACACTTCACTTTCAGCCCATGATACTGATTTCAGACTTCTGACCTCCGCACTGTGCGATAAACTTCAGTTGTTTCATGGCACCAAGTGTCACAACTCGTTTGCCACAGCAGCTGCAGGACACTAACAGACAGAAGCAATGAAAACACAGCCCTGTCCTGGCAGGAAGCTCCCGGCCCAGCTGAAAGACAGTCAGCGAGGGTGGCATGTGGTGACAGGGCTCAGCACCCCACCGGGGAGTGGCTGGACAAGGCTCTGCAGGGCAGAAGCAGGAACAGTAAGGACTGAGGAAGGATGACTTGGGGCCTGTGAGGGAGAAGATCGTCTGGGAGAGCAGGTGGCACACAAACAGGCCTGCCACTCCACAGGTGAGCTCCAGGTCAGAATCCAGGTGCCTGACCAGAATGGCCAATGAGGCTGGGACACAGCCAGGGTCGAGGCCAAAAGTGGAGGGTCTTGCAAGGGGTTCAGGGTCTTGGCACTCAGGCGACCCACTTTCTGGTAGAGATTCTATCTAATAGTGTAGTTGTTAGAAATTTTGATGAAATCCGGGCTCGGTGGCTCAGCCTGTGATCCCGCGCCTTTGGGAGGCTGAGGTGAGTGGATCGCCTGAGCCCGCGGGTTCGAGACCCGCCTGGGCAACTTGGCGAGACCTCGTCTCCACAGTAAATCAAAAATCAGCCGGGCGTGGTAGCGCCCGCCTGTAGTTCCGGCTACTCGGAAGGCTGAGGCGGAAGAATCGCCGGAGCCCAGCAGGTCGAGGCTGCGGTGGCCGGGAGCGGCCATTGCACTCCTGTCTGGGCAACAGAGTGAGATTTCGACTTAAAAAAAAATTTTTTTTTCATGAATGCCCTGGCTGAGGGATCAGTGTTTACGCCTTGGGCATTACTTAGCAGTTCTGGAAGCCCTCAGGGTCTCTGATCATCATAGGGTCTGTTCTCTAGGTAAAAATGGTTTCACCTCGGAGAACAACTTTCCACAGTAAACTCAAGCTGAGTGTTCAGCATCCCTCAGTATACAGGGGATTGGTTCCAGGATCCCCTGTGGATACCAAATTCTGCACAATCCTCCCATGCACTGCACTGCATCTCTAGGTTACTTGTACTATCTAATATGATGTCTCCACATCATTCTATTCATGTGGACTTGACACGGTACTCAGGGAGCAGCAAATTCAAATTTTGCTTTTTAGATCTTGGTGGAATTTTTTTGCCCGAATATTTTCCATCTGTGGTTGGTTGAACCCACACAGATGCAGAGACCATGAGTATGGAGGGCCGACTATTTGAGAAGAATTCGAGGACCAGAAATTCAACAGAATCAATAGTACTAATATCAACAGAATCTAATCAACAGAACCTAATCAATAGAATCTGATATCAACAGAATCAATAGTACTAACAGCCATTTTATAGATGAGGAAACCGATTAATTCAAACATCCACACATTTGGGGGGGTGCATTTATTACATTAAGAACTTTGATAGAAGCTTAAAATTTAATTTAGATGCCTGGTATCAGGCAGATGAGAATTTAGACCCTTTTGGGTAGTTTCAAGCTGATTCACGCTTTTTTTTTTTTTGAATTGGAGTCTCACTCTGTCGCCCAGACTGGAGTGCAGTGGCACGCTCCCGGCCACCGCAGCCTCGCCCTGCTGGGCTCTGGCGATCCTTCCGCCTCAGCCTTCCAAGTAGCTTGATTCACCTTTTTTAGGTCCTGGGCTTAAGCTCAGTTACGCTTAGAAAAACTTAACATCCCAGGTTTAAAAAAAATTTTTAATTTTAAAGATATGGGGTACAATTCAGGGTTAGGTACATAAGTGGTCATCGTGCAGGAGAAGTTTGGTACCCTTATTGATGTTATGTGCCCTGCCCCCCTGCCGTGTCCCACTACTGCCAATCCCTTTCTTATTGTATTTTGATAAATGTTCAGGGTCCACTTATGACTGAGTACATGCAGTATTTTTTAAAAAATGTTTTTCAGTCTTCTTGGAGAGCTTGTACCAGGCCTCTGAGAAAACAGCGTATGAATTAAATCAACACTTGAAAAAACTGCAGATCATGTTTCTCTTAAAATACACGTCTGCTTAAATGTTGAGGGCAGAATGTGTTTGTCAAACACAGGCCAGATTTTTGCCAACCCCAAAGAGTTTATAAAACATTTAAGATTGTTAACAAACTTTCCCTAAGACCAGATCCATCCCACTATTCCCAATGGTCCTCGCAATGGCAGGGACACCAGGATGGGAAGCCAAGGTATGCTGCGGGCATTCAAGTGCTGGGCACCTGCTGGCCTGCATGAACATCACCTTCCACAGTCCCCAAAAGACCCTGTAGTGCTGGTGACAAGCCCAGGAGCTCCATCACATCCCAACCACAAGAATATCAAGTACAGGAATGAGTCTTAGATTAAGTTCACTGCCGCACTATTCGCAATAGCAAAAACATGCAACCAACCCTGCTGCCCATCAAGAGTGGACTGGATAAAGAAAATGTGGTATATATACACAATGGAGTATTATGCAGTCATAAAGAAGGACAAAATGATGGACTTTGCAGCAACTTGGAAGGATTTAGAGTCCACCATACTCAGTGGTTTATCACAGAAACAAAGAACTGAATATCACAAGTTCTCACTTATAAGTGTTTCCTGCAATTTATCACAACACTAGAAGAAAGGGATCAGCAGTAGCAAGCAGTAGCCAGGGCCGGGGTTGGGGGGCACGCAACCTCACTAAGTGTACTAGATCCTAAACCAGGTGAAGTGAGGTCCAGATGGAGGCCCAAACTTCACCTGCCTGTAAACCATTCATATTCCTAAGCCTGACTTGTACCCCACATCTTTATAATAAAATAAAGCAAAAAAAAAAAAAAAGAAAGC